CAGAGCTTGGGTCGAGCCGTGTGCTGTGCTCCGAAAAGGCTTCCCACTGCTTGGGATGAGCCAGCTCCTTCCAAACCCTAAACAAAGCTTTCCTGGGCAGGAGAGGAACCTCCTGCAGGCCCGAGGGAGCTCTGCTGCACGGCAAAGGGCACGGCGGCCTCGCAGCTCTGCACGTTTGCACAGGAAAAGAGCATTTCCAGGTCAAGAGTGGGAAACAGGCAGGTTTTCCAGGCAGGGCAGGCACACAGGACAGTGCCCAGGGCTCCAGGCTGGGGGACACTATCCCACAGTGTCCTTCCCCTCTCCAGAGCACGCAGGAGGCTCCACATGGATCCAGCCTTTCCCTGCTATGGCCAGCGCTGCACACAGCAGGAGACTGGAAAATCCAGAGGGACAAACAACCCCAGAGCTTCATCAGCAGCAGCATCCCACCTCTTATCCTGTTTCAGCCACATCAGCCCGTTCCCCACCTCCCCCGGGCCAGGAACAGGCGGTGGCGGATTTCCATGGAAGGAATGGCTGCAATGCAAGCAGAGCTGACAGCTGCCCCGGGCTGTGCTGCTCAGCACCCTGAGCCCTCCTCGCAGGCAGGATTCCTGCTGGAATATCCGGGCAGGAACGATCCCGGCTCCCTCCCACCCTCCTGCAGCCTCCCCATTCCTGCGGGCGAGCTGGAGCCAAGTTTATCCCCGACACATCTCCCCGGCTCTGCTGGATTTAGAGCCCTGATAAGTTTGGGGCAGGACCTGAATTGTGGTGGCTCAAAAGGTCAGGGAAGAGGCACTAATGAGGGAGGAGAAGCCACGTGTGAGCACGGGCGTGTTCGAGCAAGGGATCGCCTCCCAAATCACACTTTGGGTGCTGGGATCTCCATCAGGACATCCTGAAACAGCTCTGCCAACAGCACCAATCCCCCAGTCAGCCTCTGGTGCAGGGCTGGGCCATGCTCTGGAACTGGCAGGTGATAAAATCAGGATACAGCAGGGCCTTAGCAGAGCTCCAGGTGAAGGAAGGGGCTGCCAGAGACTGGGAATGAGCACAGAGCCCTGCCTAACGCCATTCCCCCGTTTCAGTGGGGAAGGGAACCACGAGTCGCAGCCCCGAGAGGGCTCCAGCAGCTCTGGCTGATGAGCAGGAGGGGCCGGGGGGGTTTCCATTAGCGAGGAGCCATCCAGGTGCCAACAGCAATTCATCACAAGCACTCAAAACAAAGCAGGCAGGCACCAACGAGGGGGATAAAGCGGCTCTTCCCTGGCAGGGTCAACCTGTGGAGAGGCCAAACCATGCCCAGACACTGCTCCCTCAGCGGGGCATCCCCTCCTTCCCTGCCATGAGGTCCTAGGTTGGATTTTTGGGGTGCAAACCGAGAATTTCCCATCAGCTCACACAGTGAGAATGGGGAAGCTCTGCCCACCCTGTCCCCAGCAGTGATGTCCTCTGGAGGACAGCTCTGGCATCGAGTGACACTGGACATCACTCTCCNCCCAGCAGTGCCACCAGGCTGTGCTGTGCTGTCCCCAGGAGGCGACAGAGGGGATGGAGGAAGGCTCAGCCCCAGCAGGGACAGGTGGCAGCAGAGGGGCTCTGGCAGGGTTGGCTCCTCATGGCAGGGACACACAGGTGCTCAGGCTGGGGACAGAGCCTCGATAGCACACGGGGGAGCCCAGGGGGAGCTCTGCTGCACCAGAGGCCAGGAGGGTGACAGGGGAAGGAGCAGCAGGGCCAGGAGGTGGCAGAGCCTGGCAGGCACAGGGGACCCAGCAGTACTTACAGCAGCAGGAGCAGGCAGCAGCAGGCAGTGGGAGATGGCAGGAGGGAGGGGAGAGCAGGGAGAGACAGGAGACAGACACAGTTACTGCCCAGGGGAGCTGCTGTCCCTCCGTGAGCAGGAGCAGGAGGGGACAGAGCCAGCCAGCCCCTCTGAGAGCCACCAAACACCGAGGGCCACCAAACACTGAGAGCCACCAAGCCCCAAGAGCCACCCTACACTGAGGGCCACCAAGCAGTGAGAGCCACCCAAACACCAAGAACCACCAAACACTGGGGGCTATCAAGCACCAAGGGTCACCAAGCACCGAGGGCCACCAAGCACCCTCCCCAACCTGCAACACCCCCAGGCCTGTTTCACTCTGGAGCAGTCACCCACAATGGGCTGCATTTTCTCCAGGGCTGCATTTTCAATTGCAAATTGCTTTTTTCATCCTCTTTCCAAGGCTGCTCTGACTCCCTTACCCACCAAGGCCCTGCTCCCCCTGCCACAGCCATCCCTGGTGTCACTGGGGCCTTTGCTGGAACCCTCACCACAGGGACACTCCAAAGCCACAGCTGTGATCCCTCCCTGCTGATCCCTCCCTGCTGCCCAGAGCAGGAGCATCCCACCAGAGCCCACCCTAAACCCTGATGCCTGCCCCATCTCCCACCCATTCCTGAGCACACCAGTCCCCTCCCCGGGGTGACACGGGGACAGGGACAGACAGACAGACAGACAGACAGACGTACCGTGCCGCTTGTAGATGGGCGGCTTCCTGTAGATGTTGCTCTCGCCAGCAGCTGATGGGACAAGAGAGAGAGAAAGGGAAGAAAGAAGGGAGAGACGGCGGTGAGTGTGAGTGTGCTGAGAGCGCACAGGACACGGGTCCTGCCGGTGCCACCACCCTCAGGTCACGGTTCCATCACGGAGCCACCCCCGGCCCTCCGTGTACTGGGAGTGACCCGGGAAGGCCCAGAGAGGGATCCAGGGAGGCTCCGTGAGGGATCCTGGAGTGCCCCGGGAGGCTCCGGGAAGGCTCCGGGAGTGCCCAAGGAGAGATCCGGGAAGGCCCCGGGAAGGCCCCGGAAGGCTCCAGGAGGGATCCGGGAATGCCCCGGGAGGGCCCAAGGAGGGNCCCAGGTGTGGCAGCAAGGACAGAGGCTGCTGGCACTGCCGGGACAGTCTGGGCTGCAGCTGAGCCCTGTGGGGACAGCGGGGTGGGACAGAAATGTGATGAGCTTTCACACGTACCCAATTATTATCACCTGGGAGAGCAATAATTGACATATTAGCTGTGAATTAGCAACCAGCCTGGAGAAATTCCCCTTTTTGGGGCAATTTCAGCCCAGGAAACTCAGCCCCTCTCATCTGCCCAGGCCCAGCTGGGAACCAGCTCCTGCATGGATGGTGTTTGATGCTCTCTCCATTCTGGACTGAGCCCCAGTGTTCTTCCACAACTCGGGATCTCCTTTGGGGCAGGAATCTCCCAATGGTGCCAGGCTGCTTTGGGAATTGCAGAGCGGCCAGGGACAGCTCCCAGATCAGCTGGTGACACCTGGGGTGTCCCTGCTCCTTGCAGGGCAATGGCACACCAGCAGGGACCCTTGGAGTGCCTGCTGCCCCAGAATGGAGCTGGAGATGCTGCCCTGGCTCAAAACAACCAAGCCCTGCCTCAGTTTCCCCACCTTGGCCATGCAGGTCCTTGTGGAGGAGAGTTACTGTCCATAAAATGCTTTGGAAATGAGAAGATGCTGCTGTTGAGTTATTACTGTTATTAATAACATCCCCCAGGCTCCCTCACTGGAACTGCTGCTGGAGAGGGGAGATTCCCACAGCCACAAACAGTCGAGTTTGATTTAGAGAGCCCTGTTTTGTATGAGTAAAATAATTACAAACCAGCCTGGCTCATTTACTGCTGCCCCGGAGCAGTGAGCAGCTCCCAGGGCAGCGTTGCCATCCTCACCTCAATGCCCAGCCCTGTCCTGGCTGGCACAAAGCTCCAGGGCTGGAGCTGCTGCTGCTGGGGAAAACCCTGCCCTGAGTGAGCCTCTGGCAAAGGGAAACTGCTGATGGGATTTTGGGCAACAAATTGGGCAGCTCTGGGTGGCAGGGATGGCACTGAACCCACTCCATGGGGACACAGGGACAGGAGGGTTTCAGAGGGGACCAGAATGTGGCCCAGGGCACACTGGAGGTAAAACCTGTGCTGTCCCCTCACAGGAACTCTGCTGACACCCCACAGGTCCCTGGGCTGGTTTTGGGACTGTCCAACCCTGCTGTGTGCCTGAAAATCCTGCAGGATGAGCAAACAGGAAAGCAGAGCACCACAGATAGCAGGGAAGATGTTTGTGTTGAGACGGCCTCATTCATTTTATGAAAAATATGGCAAAAACCAAAGTTATTCCATAGAGTTTGGGATACAAACCTGTAGATTTTGCAGAGGAGGGAGTTGCCTGCATTCCCAGAGGAATTCATCAGGGAACGATGGCACTTGTGATGGGGAGTTCAGGAATACCCAGGAGAGGTCCAGCAGGGACCTGCATTTCCCATTCCTCTCCTCTTCCCCAGCTCCCAGCTGGAATATCCTGGGACACTCAGCCCTGGACAAACCTGAAGAGCAGCAGCAAACTGCACAAGGCAGGAGGTGGCTTTGCTGTCCCACTTGAGAAGGGCTGGGTTTGGGGATGGAAAGTGGCTGTTCTGGCACCTTGGGAGGATAAACTGGCTCTGGAGCAGCCCAGGCTTGGCAGGGAAAGGCACTCAGGTCCCCAGCACTTCAATCCCCTGCCCCAAACTCTGCATTTCAGATCCTGAAGTGCTCCCAGTGCTGGCATGTGAAGGCAGGGATGGATTTAAGGAGGCTGGAGTGAGATCCCACTTTCCTGCTGTATCCAGGGCCTTTTCCACCCCAACTCCACAGCCCAGCTGAGCAGGAGGGGATGGGACACCCCAGTGCAGCCGCCATCCCAAAACCATGCTCTCTGGAAAATCCTCCCCTCGTGTCCCTTTGGAAACAGAAATATCAGGTGTGAATCCTCACCCTCCCCTTGTGTCCCTGTGGAAATTTAAATATCAGGTGTGAATCCTCACCCTCCCCTCATGTCCCTGTGGAAATTTAAATATCAGGTGTGAATCCTCACCCTCCCCTCATGTCCCTGTGGGGCAGCAGTGACAGAGACCAAAAGGAGAGCCCAGGGATCCCTACAGAACTCAGGCTGGAAAAGGAAAGGAAACACAGAGCACCAAAGGATCTGCAAGACTCCAATTCACTCTCAGGGGTGCAGGGAGGGCCCCAGTGGCCCGTGCAGCCCCCAGAATCATACAGAGCTGCCATATAGAGATCTCTCTATGTATATATTTATAGGTATGTATATATTTATAGTGCCCTGGCTCAGAACAGCCGGGCCTGCTTCTTCAGCTCGTTCCTCTTCCACAGCGCCAGGCGGTCGAACTCGGCCATGGTCATGCCGAAGATCTGGTAGAATTCCTCCTGGGACAGGTGTCTCTGGGGAGAAACAGGGGGCTGGGCCAGAGCTGGGCACCCTCCAGGGGCTCTGAGGGCATCCCCTGCCCGCTGGGACAGTGGGTGACACGAGGCCAGCACTGCTCCCCTGGGAATGGGGGGACCTGCCACTCTCCTGTGGCACAGGAGCCTTGTGACAGTGCCCTGCCACCCTC